GCGTTTAATTTCTTGAAAGTGTATTACTTAAACAAGTTACAAAATTTTTCATCGTGGAATCTCTTTGGATCGTGGATTTTTGAAGGAACGAGAAGAATCAGTTGCGGGATTTGACTATAAATTTAGAATACTGTGTTTATTTGGAGCGAGAGGTGAAACGTAATAAGGGGCATGCGATGGATGAAAATAAATATCAGGCATTGTTCGATTCGATTAAAACGATTTCTAAATGGTATTATTTTCTTTCGTACTTATGCATACGGAATTTTCATTATTGCCTCAAAACACGATCCTTATTTTAGGCATTACTTCACAACTACGAGGAAAGTTCAATTGCGCATGTAATTGATTTTGCGTGCAAATAAATAGATTATCGGTAGATTTTGCAATGCAGTATTGCTGCATTACTATACTTAATAATAACTCACGAACCAAATATGTACGCAGGTACATGGACGTCTGACAAGTAAAAAGTGCCTCACTAACTAGATGTCAACATCTTGCAATAATCTCGAGCGGCCAGCTCTGTAGTTGATATGTGGTCTGGAAATCGGTAACTCCGGCAATCAGGAAATCTGACGCTTTTAGACGCAAGCTGGCACTTCTGATAAGGGAGGAGGGTGTTCATTGCAGCGTACAACGAGGTTCAGTCACAGCTTTATCCCTGCAGCATCGACCTCCTCGTCCTCCCTCGGGGTAAACCAGGGTCCCTTTTCAATCGGACCCCACCTCCCCCCCCCCNCCCCCCCCCCCCCCCCCCCCACTGACTTTCTCCCTTTCCGACAAGTTTTTCTCGCGCCTCTTCAAAAATGATGGACGCGAATTAAAAATACCCACGTTCCCTTGCGCCCCATCCCTCTGATCTGATGTCACGTCCTGTTGAATGCTGATATTTTCGAAAATATCTCAAATATAGGAAAGATACCAAGCTTTCAGCCTTCTTTTATTACATTGGTGCACTACAGTGTACAAAAGTACACTACTATTTTGCCGTGCTAGGCAAGAACGCCGTAAATCCATCAAGATTTTCCTGCGTTTTTTGGAACTTAACACTTTATGAAATCAATACTGTTTTACCCGTGCAACTTAAATTTTCAGGTTAAGATCTTGATAGTATTTGTGAAAGAATTCTGTAAAAACATTGTCCCAAGGTACACAAGTTATTCTGCTATGATGTATTTTTTCCAAAAAATTTAAAATGGCGTTTACGGCAGTTTTGCGTTGCACGGCAGTACATGGGCGTCATATTCAAGCTACTTCACTGCAATAACATAAACCGTTAAAACCATTGTCTACTCAAAATTGTTCGGTTTCGTGTCTAAAAGCACTGGTTATGAACCGTAGAAACTGTAAACCTGATTTTTTCGAAAATATCTATACATTTTTCACGTTTCCGAGCTCTGAGCGAACTTACCGGGGTTTTGTCTCAAAAAGTAATGAAAAATGAAGAATGATGTGATCTACATACTTGAAATAATACATACTAATTTTGATGAACAAAAAAAGCCTCCTTTAAATTATGATGCAAATCGACGAACGCTTCTGCTGTCGAGATCGACAAAAAACAAATTGCATAAGATAGGAAAATCGATTATCTCTACGGATCTCGCAAAAGGCTCCGTTCTTGAAACATAAATAAAAATAGTTCCTACAACACACGCAGGCGTTCTGCGACACCCAAACGCCACATGTGTCTATCTCCACAGAGGTCATCGGTTAACTGACACCGTAACTAGTTCTTGAAACTATTTTGAAAGAAATCTCTTCCATTTGTACGATGCACTGGTTATACCTTGACAAATTCTACGAGTTGTACTTCAAACTTGACGAAAACAAACATTAAGTTGACTTTGCTTTAAATAAAGGTCATTCGTTTAAACCCATAAAAAATTTACTTCGGCCTCCTCTGAAATAGGAGGTTCATTCAATAAGACGAATACTAAAGTAAAAAAAAAAAACAAAATTGTTTGAAATGTTTCCTTTCGTTCATCGAAAGAATCTATGGTCCGCTGGAGTGATGTCCCCACATCTTGTGACCTTCTTCCAAGAGAGAAGGTCCTTTTCGGAATTCAATCTGAGACTAGTATTTCAATTCCGATTACCGGACTCTGGCAACATAGCTTTCCCAGTTCATCAAAAAACTTTTGCCCGTGAAATGAAATTATATTCCCCCTGTTATTTATTATTGCTGCTACGACCTGTGGGGCGCGGCGAGAAGGGACTGACTTACGAAAAGCTTCGAAAAAACGAGAGCGAATCGGGAGAAGGTAGGGGAGGGGATTTGAGCAACGAGAACTCACCACTTAACACTCCCTTGAGGGATTCTGGTATCCCCAACGTCGCCTGCACTCCGTCCGCTTCAATTCGACTCCTCAGCGGTTTTCAAAATTTCGGACTAGTTCGCAATTTGAGAGAGATCACTCGAAGATTAGAACACAGGTGCGGACAGTCAGTTCCTTGCCTTAGAAATCCCTCTTTTTCAAGACCTTTAAAAATCTTCATGGGCAGCATAGAGCAAAGCATTGCGAGTTCACGTAACGCGCCATCGCCCCTTCAATTTTGCAGGCATGCAACACGGACATCCATCAAGCACGAATAGTTGTATCTCTGCGCCGTCATCAACGCGCGCTCGCTTTAAGGAGTCTCATATTTTTTAAATTTACCATTAGTTACGGTTAAGTTTGCTTCGAATATGCTAGGTATGATGTATCCAAAGCAATAACCATTTTGAGGTGGAGGTCTCTCAAGCATCGTAAAAAGCTAGCGTCTAAAAATTTAGTATTTTGGCGAGGGTTGTGTCATGTCAGGAATTTTTTTTTTACGAATACACCTGGGAAACCCAAAAGCCGGATCAAATTGATTCGACGTCTCTTGTGTCGGAGTTACAGATAGCGAACGAAAAGAAGGTTGAAAAAGCGCCAGTATTTTATAAAAAAGGGGAAAATATAAAAAATTGTAGTTCTTACCTTGCAAAACAAAAATGACATACATAATACTTCAAAAACTGTTAGAATTGTTGTATTGAAATAGAAAGCAGTTTGACTCGACTTGGGAAAGTGCGTATGATGGGCATCTGAGGGTTAAAGCATCGAATGCGATTCTGTGACTGTAGCGCAATTGTTTTGAGCACATTAAGTGATTTATACTTGAAAAAGTAAAATACAATTCGGATTCAGCGATAAAAATTCTGATAAGAACTTTAGTTGCGGAAAAAAAGAACGGCTGAATAAATGGACATGACAAGTTGCATTACACATACGAAAGCCCTTATCTCATGGTCGGAGCCGAGGTCAAGAGCGAAGAGCAGACGTCGTTCCCAAGTTCTTGCCGGTCGACCAGCGCCGCGCCGCGCCGTCGGCGTCCGGTCGCAGACTCGACGGGTTCATTTCACGAACTTTGAATCGCTTCACTTCATCGTAGGAACTTGCTAAGTATTAAAGGCTCAGCCTCTTTTTCGAGAGATTACGAGGGGAGAATTACGGCGGCTTTAATTGTTTTCCCCGATGCGATCCTTCAAGATTAAAAGGCTCCCGACGGAGTGGAAGACCCTGCACCGCCCACGGCCGGCCTTTAATCTTTGTGGCCTTTGCCTTGGAAGACCACTGAATTTTCTAGCTAGCTGCCCCCGATTCAGTGCCCTAGTAAAAGTGAGTCAGTCTGACGTCAGGCTATGTTTCATAACCTACCCTGAGTCTCACGGATTCAGGGTGACATCAGTCTGCAGGGTGTCTACTATATATCAGGCTGACCAAAAATCGGTACTTTTACAGTACATTCTCAAGAAATTCAGTACCTCCTCAATCAATTGACAAAGTCGGTACTTTTTCATTGCCGACTTCTATAGACGAAATTCGATCAATTTCAAAAATTTGAATTTCTCGCTCAAATTGCGACAAAAAAGACAAAAAATGAACAAATTCCGGGCCATCTTACAGAATTCCCGCACTTTTTCAGTACTTCCGGACCGCTCTTAAAAACTCAGTACTACTTCCGGACTCGTAGACAACGTGGTCTGACATCAGCCTGAATCAGTCTGACTCAAGGTAGTTTATGAAACATAGCCTGCCGTCAGGCTGACTCACTTTTACGAGGGATGACGAGGCGTGAATCATTTACCCTCGATATATTTCCATTTGGAGTCATGATAATGAATCGAGTATTCAGGTTTTCACTGGAAACAGCCTTATGATCGATCTTTTTCCATAGATTGAAACAGCAAATTAATCGACTCATCGCAAAGGACGTCATGCACTGGCCAATTGTGGATCATCGGCTATAGATATTTTACCATTTGAAGCTACGGTAAAGAATCGATTATTTAGACATGACCTTGATTGACAAACATTTCAAATCCAAATTTTCTTTTAACTTTTTTTTTCTAATGTGGCAGAAAGTGCAGTAAATTTAAGATTTATAAAAAAGATCTTTATTCTTCCTGACCATTTAAGAGGAAATTCATTAACTTTTGAGATCACACTGGATGATAATTAATAATTTTAATATTTTCTGTTCGAGCAAGAAGAGAAGCCAGGGCTTTCTGTTGCAACACGAAGAAATGCCTTTTGGGTTATTTTGTTACTTTTGGCGCGTATACGTAGTATACNCGATCGAATAGCTTTCTACTTTCACAATACACGGTCTCGTCAAGGTGCGTCTTTGACCTCGCAGTGTTGGATCGTGAATTCTCTTTTTATGCTGTTTGCCTATTTTGAAATCTCTGTAAATGAAAACTAAAGGGGTTGATATGTGCGAGTTAATGACGCGCCTTATCAACACATTGTGTTGGAGTTCACTGCTTGTTTCCTTGTATTTTTCTCATAAGTTGGCTGAAACCGTTCTGGAGTGCTTGATTTCAGAGCATTAAGTTGCTGCGAGGTTTCGAACGTAAGCCTCAGGTGGTCTTCCAAGTAAAACTATTAATCCAACCGCATTCATTGATACAGGTTCTCATTCAACTGAATCTTAATCCTAGAGAGAATGAAAAAACTTTGAGGACTTACTTTTGGTAGTTATTAATGACAACTCGTCTTTGAGGCTTCGGTTTTTCATAGACACCGTAGACAGGTTCTCTGGCTTCGCCAGCAAACCCGTAAATTTCATCTTCTTCCCGGTCACTTAGGCAACTTGAAGGCTGAAAATTAAATACAACTAATTTTAAAAATAATTCTTGAATCGTCGAAGCAAATTGCTTGAACAATCACTATAATTATACCATGCAGACCTTTGGAATCTTTTTTAAAACAGATTGGATAAAATAAAAAGAGGAGTCATGAGTCAAACTGAACTACACGTTTACCGTTGTGTAATGAGAATCCATATTACGAATTTGGGCGTAAACTAAAATTAGATGCTAAAGTTTTAAAAAAAATGGATCGATTATTGTTTTGAAAAACTTACAAATCTAGGGAATTCACACAGGAGATACAAGCAAAAACCTTACGTTCGGATCAAAAACAAATAATGAATAAAATAGGAAATCTGTGTACTCAAATACGTTAGGTTAGGTGATTGAAAAATCCACTTTTCACTGAGAAAGTATGCACAGGTAATGGCTGGAGGACTTTAGAAAGCGCACTTCTTTTCTGCTACGCAACATTTTAGGTCTCCAAAATGAAAAGACATGCAATCAAAAAGTTATTCTACCGCTGACTAATATACGCAGACACGAAATATATTGATCGTACCTAGAATGCATTGAGCAAAAGCTGAGGATCGAGAATAGTCCATTCAAGACGCGATTAAAACATTGAAAACTACCAAGATGAAATCGTAGATAAGATATTAGATTCTTCGTTTTACATAAATAGTAGCACATCCGATTTTACTGCATGACAGAAAAAAAGACGGGCACTCTTTTTCTCACTGACTACTAGAAATTAGATATTCTCAACGTACCGACTGAATTGTGTGTGAAATTGAATTCACTGAAAAAAGAAACTACGGCCGTAGAGCCGTACTTACGGGCTATTTAAACATACCGTACGCGCCCCGGGCTCAGAGGCCGAGAGTTCCGGGTGTAGCAGTTGTAGCATCTGGAGCAGTCGAAACTACGGCTCCAGCACCCAGAACTTTTGGCTTCTGAGCCCGGAACGGACGGTATGTCTACATAGCTCGTAACTTTTTCTACATAGATGTAGGTCGCTTCATAGCACTCCCTCGCGCTCTACGATACCAAACCTCCACTGCTCTTTGTCGAACCACAACCCTTGGGTAACTTTTACTCAATGTATAAAAATCAAAATGTCGCGTCGTGATGCTTGCATTAAAACTACTTCACCCTGCGATCTATTCAGGGTGAAAAAATGGGTGCAAGTGCGGGTGTGGGGAGGGGGGATGCGGGGATGGGTGTGCGACTTACCGAATACTTGCCGGGCACGTAGATGGGTTGTGAAAGGCTAGTGGTGAGGGTGGGCGAGCGGGGGGCCGGGCCGGGAGGGGTCCTGGGGCTGGGGGACAGGTGGACCCCCCAAGCTCTCCGCCGCAGGTCCTCCAAGTGCTCCAAGACGTCCCGATAGTGGGTTTTGTACATGTCCGCGTACCTCGACGCCAGCCCTTCCAGGTAACCCCGCTGTCCGTCCTACGAACAGAACCAACCAGTCCTTCACTATCACCGATCGTCACATCAAAACCACTGACTCCCGCAGAAAAATTGAAAAAATCGGAGTCCATGTTAAAACCAGGGTGTCTACTAAAACAGGCTGCCCAAAAATCAGTACTTTTACAGTAATTTTTCAGTACATTCCCAAGAAATTCAGTACCTCCTGAACAGAAAAAACATACTTTTTCAGTATCTCCATTTGACTAATTTCGAAAAATTTTGAAAAATATAATTTCTTGCTCAAATTGCGACAAAAATGACAAAGGAGAGTAAAATTCCGGACCTTCTTGCGGAATTTCCGCACTTTTTCAGTGCTTCCGAACCGCTCTAGAAAAATCAGTACTATTTTCGGACTTTCCCAAAATTCCAGATTTGTAGACACCCTGTAAAACCTAATTGGTAAAACTGACCAATTTTCTATAAAAATGTGACCAATATTCGAATTCCGTGTCGTCGATTTGTATGTGACGACGGAATCTGAGAGAAACTGTAGTGAAGTTATGAAAAGATATAGCCCCCTGAAAATCGTAGTGGCAGGCGTGATTTCCCGCAGTGGGTGATGTTATGCCGTGGCTTTTTCCACATGGATCTCAAAAAGTGACGGTAAGACGAGCCTGACATTGTTTTACTACCTTCAAAAATTTGTGTAATACACACACGCGACCATCATTTCTTTTCTCTTTCTATCCTTTTTTTTGCTCAGAACCGATATGGATTCGATGAAACACTAAAATAGACGCATGTAAAATTTATTGAGACTATAGCGAGAAATCACGTGCTCCTCAGGTTTCATACGAATCTTTTGAGCAGGGGAGTTTACTCTTTTGCAATATGAGCTAGCCCAAGAGAACAAGAAGCCCCCCCTCCGCGAAGCTAAACGGGGGAAATAAGGTAATTAGGCTCTAAATGAGGAGCCCAAGTATAAATTTCGGCCTTGTTTCATTAATTAAACCGGTATATTCTTCATTCATTGCTAGCCGGAGTTGGCCTCGACCCCGCCTTCGACTGGGCGCGGGCGCTCCCTTCCGACTTCCGAGGCGACCTTTTTTTATAGGTTTCCTTAATCCCGGAATGAAAACACTTTAAATTAAACGCTATTCATTTTACTCTAAATTACAAAGAATCTCGTTAACTCGACCCACCTACCGCTTCCCCTTTCCCGAGATTTCCCTTCAGCTCAATCTGGGAGGACGATTTTCACTTCAACTTTAAATTAAAGAGGTGTGAAGAGAAACTAAACGAATCGGGAGCGGCGTGAATGATTTGACTTCCCAGTTACGGAGTTCTGCGTCCCGACGAGGGACTAGTTGAGGACTTCGAGGGGATATCGGTGCTTTTCAGAATGCTCAATTTTTACAGAATAATCGATCTATACCTTCATTTAGGTGATGAGAGATCATCGAGGACCATGATTTTGAAATTGCAATCGTCTTTATTCTAGATGGGATAAGACGCGCGTATAAAAATCTGACTATGGGAGTAAACAAGGTCTTCTCGTAAGAGCTTTCGAGTAAAACTCTTACCACGTTGAGACAAATTCTATTCCTCATCAAAAAGAGCCCATTTTCTCGGCAGTTAGTGCGCCGAGAACGCTTAACGTTAATGAGGCAAACCGTCACACTGTGTAAAATTTTAGTCGTGTGAATGAAAATTACTTTGCCGCGATGAAACATATCAGATTGGGATGGAATCGTTTGCGTCCAGAGTGAAGGAGTTTTCTTGGTGACCAAGACAATTATCCTTGTCACAGATATTATTTATTTTTCCTCGTGCAGCTATAACGCAACTTTTCTTTTTTGAACCGAGCTCTTTAATGATTTAAAATCATTTCTAGAAAAAAATTAAAAACATTTTTTTTAACTAACCAATAATTTAAAATTAATTTAATAAAAAATTCAACAGGAAAAATAATTAGTGAGCAGAGTTCGACACAAACGCAATGGTTGAAACGCAATAGATTTTAACTATAAATAATTGAGAACCTTTCAGAATTTGCATACTTTCTTTGTGAGATCACACTGATGTTATAAGAGAACTTTATGACGTATATATCACATCACATGCTCAAAATGAATTCGATGAGACGGGAAAGACTTCCTCCAAGTTTCCGACGGTCGATGAATATTTATAATCAGCTGAGTGGAAAAGCCGTAAAAAGCCCCAACAGACGGTTCGGGGTCCGGAAAAAGTGATCGATAAATTTCCGGTCCGACCGGAAATTGGGATGTCGTGGAATGGGGTTTAAATAGGAAACGAGCTAAGGGCGTAGCGACAGGTCATTCGCAAAATCACCTTCAAGGATGGGGAGAGGAGCAAAGAGAGGGTTGCGGCAGAGGAAGATACGGAGAAGATATTTCAACTTTCGCAAACTATCGGCCGACGCCAATAATCTGTCGGCAGACCCACCTTACAGTGCTGCCTTATTGATAAAGATCAAAATCGTCCCCGACTTTTCCTGTCGACTCACGCAACTGTGCGACGTGACGCAGGAGTTTTCCTCCAATTTTCTGCGCTTCATTCCCTGACTTGGACGCGCCACGAGGGACCCGCCCGATTAAATCTGGCGAACGCAAGGTGGGCCGTGGGAGGATGTCACTCGCCGACAATTCGAACGACCCTCCTTCCCTTCGTCCCTATTTTTGCGGCGGCATTTATTGTTACCAGTGCTAAATTCTTGAATAAATACCCCATCGGAATTGTTAAATGTTTAAACGCGGGAGCTTGATACCGATCAATGGCGGATTTTCAACAGGTTTTCGAGTGACACATTTACCCCATCGCTTTGGCGCCACCCTCCTCCTCTACTCCGCAACTTTTCTCGGCTCTTGTCGTCGCGGAGAGAGCAATCATATATTTCTTTCCCCATTTTCATTCAAAGTCTCAATTTTGCTTTCGGGTGTCATCCCTTACATTCGAGAACATTTATCACCTAGAATACTTCTTGCAAGATTGCACTAGAGCTCGGGAAATGAGTTCACGGGACTCGGGACTTTATTTTGCGGCGAGACCTTGAAGTAGACAGGAGAAAGTTACGCTGTAAAATCGATAGAATAAAAAGCGTGTGGCAAGAAAACAATATCACGCTTAATTGACAGACTCTTGACGAGACGCGTAAATTATTTCCACACTCGAAAACTTTTTCTTGTACAGCGCCTGGTTGAATCGTTATCGATGGAAAGCATTACTACGATAAGGATTTATCGATCCAGGTCATTCGAAATCGATCCTCTGATCAAACCGCTGATTAAGCTTCATAATAGACGGCAAATTGGACGTCATTACACAAAAAGGATCTGTTTATACACAAAAGGAAAAGAAAAAACCTCTCGCCTATTAATCTCTCAAAATAGCCTTTGTAGAAAAATTAATCTGATTGATTCCATCCAATCACAAAATTGTTTTCAGTGGAATAAAATTTAGAGGTTCACAGGAAATTGTATTGTCAGGGAACACACCTTCTATGCGACATAATTCTGAATTGTACACATAATAAGCGTCGCTTCAAGTGACGAGTCGCTTCGAAACGTTTGCTTCGAAAATTGACTATCTCAGCAAAATTACAATTCTGTTTGCTGAAATATTGGTTTTTTATGTCAGGCGCATCTTTCATTTTTCCCCATCCAAATCTTTCATCTATTCTCTTTTCATTTTACATTGAAGATTACCTATCGGCACAAGGTGCATTTATTTTGAAAAGTAGCCGACTTCAGGGTTTGAAAACTTTCATATTGTGCTTTTCTTTTATCTAATCTAACTGCTTTTTTCGGCTGCGTGGTGTTTTTGGAAACTGAATAAAATGCGGTAAAACTATTTTTCATTCACTGAAAATGTTCAGTTTTTTATTTTTTCTTCGATTTCTGTACCTACTGTTCATTCTTCAATGCCAACTCGGGAACTCTTCGAAAAATCCGATCAATTTGCGTATAAAATGGTTTTTTGCCTAAAAAATAGAGACTTCTTCTTCTCCTTCTCACTTGTATTCCCTACTTTCAGTGCATGAAGATTCAAATCTACGACAAACTGACGATGCTAGAAACTCTAGAGTTTCAGAAGTCTCCAAAACAAACAGGGAGGACATACCAATTTTCCAAACGGTCGTGAGGGAAATAACCTGATAATATGAAAATCAAGGACTTTCGGGCACACGTGCGAAATTTCTCGAAATTCAAGAATATTCAAGAACTTAATAATTCGACAAAAATCGAAGTATATTCAAGAACTTTTCAAGACGTCACGAAGCCTCGATTCCGAGTGAAAAAGAGCCGAAACTCGCTTGCTCGGCAACAGGGAGGATGATGACGTCACCAGGGGATTGGGTGGGAGGGGGGGTGTCGGAGTCGGGCAGTTTATCTTGCCCACTTCGATACACTCGGCCACGCCGCGAAACAATTGCATGAAAAAGACATTTCCTCAAATTTATGAATATTAAAGTCGGTTCTCGTCCTAGCTCAGCGCCACACATACACGTTACGCTCTGCGCCATGTTTCCCGCTTTCCCATTTTCCCGCCCGCACATCTCGCGACAATTCCGCCTCCCTCCGTCGCACAGTGAAAAGAGCATTCCGGAAAGGTTGGACGTTAAAGTTTCTACTTGAACTGCAAATTTAGGTGTCTGTTTCGTCACGCTGTAAATTTTACTCAACCGGCGTTTCTTGCTGGAAATGTTACGAAGAGATAAAAAATCAGGGTTTTTGTAATATTTATCTTCTAGTCTCTTGAAATATTCTTCTTTTCCTTGACTACAAAATGTCCGAATTCACTGTCTTTTCGGGGCCTTAAAACAAACATGGATACACATGGATTTTGTTTTTCTTAATTTACGCTGATATTTACTGAACTTCGGACGAAATTACCATTTCCAGAGATTCAAATCATGGAAAAAAGCACTGTGAAGTTGTTCGCGTATTCTGAACGACACCAGCTAAAGTTGCAAAGCCAATGTGCCACCTGCAAAATTCTCTGACCTTTCCGTTTGATTT